TTTTATGGTTCTATTGACTTGTTTATGATGTATACATGTTGTGCGGGTGGTGTAGAAAGTTTCATCAAAAAATTTCATGATTTAGTTGGCCAAATGATGTGTTTTCGGAAATCAGCAAAAACTGGAAATTTTCCTGTAACTGCTCTGGCAGTGTTTTTGTTTTGGCTATAACCCTTTGCACCGACGTCAAAATCGAGTGCCGTTTGCGGCACTGGAAACTAGACATTCCAAGCTTTCCAATGGTATAAAATGTACATCCTGTTTCTACTTGAGTAGTCCATACCAATCGTTTGAACATGACTGTCCTGTTTCACGTCTACACTGGGAGCTCTGTTTTGAGCAGCGAATTTGTGCCCAAATATGAGCTAGCCATGGACAGATTTTGGAAACCATTTCTTCTAAGAAATTGTATCTTTATGAATCTAGTTTTCAACGCCACTGACCACGCTCAATTCCAAGTAGAATTGAGTGAGTTGTGGCCGAAATCCGAAACTGACTCAATGATTTGAAACCCTCTTTTGGCTAGTAAATGTCTAAATCTTGATTGGGACTTGTTGTTTCGAAATTCTTGGTGTTAATCACCTACCAAATGCATCTTGGATGTTTCTTAGACATTACCTATACAAAGGGACAGTGTTTGAGACATTTTTGTTAGAAAAACGTTTTGAAAACGGAAAACTCATGTACTGGAAATTTGGAAACTTTGGTGATCTGGTTAACCAACTTTCCGTATGTATTTTTTGATGAAAATTGATAGAGGAATAGATCTCATATGGTAGTATAATACTGCCAAATTTGGTGCCATTCCGAGTTCATTTCGATGCTCAAACAAAGTCCCAAAGTTTGTAAATTGAACCTGGAAATTTGCCTAACCGTCTCAACTTTTCAGCAACTTTGAGCCGCCATATCTTGGTGCTCAAAACTCCGAATCTTGTTCTACTTATTTTGTTTTAAACTTTGATTGCAACTCTAATTGAGTTTCAAATCTGAGAGGCTAGTTCAAATTCTGTAAATTTTGCCAAATTTTCAAAATTGGCAAAAAACCAACCTCAAAACTGTCTCGCAAGCCTAAAACAGTAACTTTAAACCAATTTTTGAATGCCTTCCGTTGGGAATCATGGGAAAGTGTATTCTAAAAACTTCTAGTACTTTGGAAGAAGTTTCCAACGGTACTAAGTTTTCCAATTTTGGACTTGTAAAGAGGGAGATACGATTTTTTAATGATTTCGTATCAAAGCTGAAATTTTCGAAACTTAAGGAAATGGAGTTTTTTGAATTCTCCTTTTCCCCTTGATATCACTTGAATGTTTACACTTGATTTCAAAGATGAAAACTTGATTTCTCTTGTGCTTTAAAAACCCCACTTTTGAGCCTTAATACACGAGTAATTTAGGCTCGCTTTCGTGAAATTTTCTTAAATTGTACAAGTGTACAATCATTCGTGATAATTGGGGTTTATACATGATAGTTCATTATTAATTGCTCAGACTCGCACAAGAACCTTCAAGAGGATCCCACGGTGAACACCTGAACTTCAAGTGACATTTCTTCCTTGTTTACTTGGTGAGTGTCAAGTGTATGTAAACCTGATACGTGCTTAATTGTTATTAGTGATTGGAGATTTTGAAAATGCTTAGTCGAGTGTGTACTTTACCGTACTCGGTCTCATTTAAATGAATCATGAATGGCTTGATTGAATAAAAATGAATGAATCATGAATGATTTGATTGAATTGAAATGACTGAATCATGAATGACTTGATTGAAATGAAATAAATGATTGAATGTATTGAATGATTGAATGAAATGATAAATTATGCTATGGCTGCATAAGTCAATTGGAGCGATGCCTCATCGAACACTGAACGATTGTAAGTACCACACCGATTCGGGTGGGAGGTGCCTCTCGAGTCGTCCCAGAACCATAAAGTATTCTAAGTCGATTGGAGCGGAGTCTCATCGACCTCTGAACTATAGCAAGTACCACACCGATTCGGGTGAGAGGTACCTCTCAAGTCGTCTCAGAACCATAAAGTATTCTAAGTCGATTGGAGCGGAGTCTTATTGACCTCTGAACGATAGTAAGTACCACACCGATTCGGGTGGGAGGTATCTCTCTAGTCATCTCAGAACCATAAAGTATTCTAAGTTGATTGGAGCGGAGTCTCATCGACCTCTGAACGATAATAAGTACCACACCGATTTGGTGGGAGGTACTTCTCGAGTCGTCTCAAAAACATAAATGGAATAAGTGAAGTGCTACGAATTTGATTACCTACTCGGGTGACGGGGTGCCGTCACGAGAGGGTATTAAATTGAACTTGAGTAAAGTAATTAAAAATTAGCTCCTGAGAGCTCCGACATCCTACTCAAGTGTGTTTATTATAAATTATGAATTACTTGAATGTTATAACTTTCATTATTGTGTAAGTGCTATTGTTATTGAACTACGTGTCTTGCATGTTTTCTTGGCCTCACGAGCATTCGCTCACTCCGTTAGATTTGTTTTTCCTTAACAGGAGCGGATATGGGAGGAATTATGGAAAAGTTTACTTGGTGGCTCATTTGATTAGAATTTTGAATGTATTTGTTTAGACAACTTTTGGAAGTTGTATATTTTGGAAAAAGTAATTATAAGTTTGAAATTGTGATGTAAGATTGAATATTTACGTATGGAAATGACTTTGTACTTTTATTCCGATTTTCATTGTCAGTATTAGACTTTAAGTTTGAATTGGAATTGTCTCGAGTCCTGGCGAGAGTTGGGCAGACGTCCCGCGGATACCCTTGGATTCACCCTTGGGAGAAGTGGGGGCGTCACAGTTGGTATCAGAGCTTAGGCTTTAGATCTTTGTAATGTATCCTAAGCCTAAAAGTTTAGGATGCCGGATTGTGGGATTTGATTGTGTATTAAGTACAACGTGATTTTTGTGCTTGAGGTTGTAGCACCATTTTTGCTCACAAAACACTATAAGACTTTACTCTTCAAGTTAGGTTGGAGGTGGGTCAAGATTGGAAAATCTAAATAGCTATCTAGTGAGTTTAAGGGTTAAAAACCTTGCTTTCCCACTCTTTTGCTTGTCGAACATTTCGAAAGAAAAGTTGATCCATTTGAACAATTTTGGGCTCCACTTTGAACTTGAAAATGAGACATCTTTGCATTCCATTTGGTTTGATTTATCACCCTAGCTTGTACAAGAACTTTCACCTTGAATCTAGCGAGGAGGCTAAGAATTTAGGAGGTAACTCAGGCTTTTGAGTGCAATTTGGAGTTTATAATCATTTGAATGATGTGGTTTGGTATCATAGATTCTTCTAGTTTTGTCCCTAACTAGGCTTATGGTTTTTCTTTTGATCCTGCCTAGTATAGTAGGGGTAGTGCTCGCCGTGAGGTCTTTTGTATTTTGCCTACAAGTACTATATTTGTGGCACCTAGTTGCCTATGACCTATATTTGATACTATTAACTCGTTGTATGCACATCGACATGTGACATGACTTCTAGCTTATGCAAATAGCTATGTTTTGATTTAGAGTGTTCTTGCAATGTGTACCTATTTTTCAATTCATGCGCTTATGCTTTCTACTTGTATTATACGTTTAGAACCTTGCAAAATGGATCGGCGAGGACGTGGACGGGGGAATGGGCGTGGGTTTCGGCAACCCCGCACTCCCGAGAGAGGTGAGAGATCTGCGACTGGATCAAACCAAAACCCTAGAAACGAAGAGGGTGACCAAGTGGCTACGACCATTAACTGAATGACCGATATTCTCGAGCGCATAGTTGAGCGCCAGGGACCTGAACCAGTCAACCAACCTAGGAACCAAGAGAGAGGTGAGAATAGAGCTCTCGAACGATTCTTCAAGTTCGCTTCCCCTAAGTTCCGAAGTAGCAGAAAATTGGTTTGAAAGGATGGTTGATATTTTTGCTCCTTTAGATTATACCGAGGAAAGGCAAGTGAATTTTGCCGCTTTTCAATTTGAAGGGGCGGCACGCTCGTGGTGGAATGTTGTTTGTGCAAAGTGGGAAAGAGAACAAATCCCTTGGATTTGGATAAACTTTGAGAGGGAGTTTAATGTCAAGTTCCTCAGGCCAATTATACAAGAAAAGAGGGAGGACGACTTTATTAAGTTAAAACAAGGGTTATTAAGTGTGACCGAGTATGAGGAGCGGTTCACCAAACTTTTCAAATTTGTTCCTGAGTTTATACTCACCGAACGGAAAATGATAAGGAGGTTTATTCAAGGGTTAAATGTAGAAATTCAAGAATCCCTAGCAGCTGCCCAGATTACCACTTTTACAGATGCCTTGGATAAGGCACAGAGGGTAGAGAATGTTTAGTCTCAATTTAAGACTTTTCATGCTAGAAAGAGAGGTAACCCAAGTGATATCCCTAAACCGTTCGAGAAGTCTACCCAACCCCTTAATATGGAAAAAGGGATTGGAGGAGTGAAAATGCATGAAAAACTCGGAGAAACTCCATCAAGCAAAGCCCCGCCAAAAGGAAATCAGAGTGGACGAGATCAACAAAAAGGGAAATCTCAAACTGGTCAAGCCATGACTCCTTATGTAACTTGTGATATTGTGGCCAGATTAACCACGCTGAGGTTAAGTGCTGGAGAAAACAAGGAAAATGTTTGAGCTGCGGTAGTACCGAGCATAAGTTTTCGAATTGCCCTAAAACTTCTAAGGGAAAAAGAAATTCTCAACAACCTGCTAAATCCACTGCAAAATCAGTCGAGTGCCAGAAGGAGTAATTAATGTTAATGATTGTAAGAGAGACCCAAGTAGTAGAAACTCTATGAGTAGGGGTAAATTTAACTCCACTCGACAAATAGGGATTGTAGTTTCACCCTAGCCTAAACTGGTACTTTTAGAGGGTGTAATCTTTTGTACAGGGGATTGTGACGACCCCACCGTACCCAAAGGCGTACCAAAGGGCTTAGCAGGCCGTCTGCCTAGCTCGCGCCAGGACTCGAAATCAAAAATTAATAACAACTATTCACACCCAAACGGTTACTATACACATTATATACATGCTCAAAAGTTCACTATGTACATCACATACATCAGCAAAAATGTTCTATATACAATTCAAAAGTAGAAGTCCGAACTACTGTTTCATGCCATCACTACAACTATGACCATAAGGTGGACCCTAAGGTGGGTCCGAACACTTATCACTATTACTATTACACGCCTATCAACTGCCCAAAGAAAGGTATTAAACCTAACTAAACTAGTCAAACTCCCACAAGTGGTCCCCGCGTCGACCCCTGAAAGGAAAACAAAAAGAAGGGGTAAGCTAAACGCTTAGTAAGTACGCAGGGGTAAAAGCGTAAATTTTACATAGTAGGAGCAATTAAAGTCACATAGCACCCAGTTATAAGCGAAATAATAACACATATGTAGGATACAGATTGGCTTCAAAGCCAAGTAGTTTGTCATGATTGACCACCTGCCGACACTCCGTTGACCGCAAATTATGGTCCGTAGAGCTCCACTTGTCAACCCACCATCCACCTTAGCACCCACACTGGCCAGTCACCCACACACACATAATAGCTCGAGCAAAGTTGGTTCATGCACACAGGTTCACATATTTGGTTCACACAAACCAATTCACATAGTTAATTAACCTAATGATCTCAAGTCTAAGTTAGACTAGCTCCGACCAGGCCCCTGCCGGCTCGATTAGTCCAACTAGGTTCTAAGATCGGGCCCCATACATATCACATGTCACACATATCACAAATGTCACGCCGAGCTACAAGCTCTAGGGGTTTAGTCTTAACAGCATGTCATTGGCACAAATCAAGCACAAGTACAGGTACATTTTAGGGTTTAGGTCGAGTGTGATAAAGTACACGCTCGCCTAAAGTCCCTTTCATTTAAAGCATAACACATAAGGGCGTTGACTTAGACACATAGCCCTAGATACTTACAAAAATACAAAACGAGTAAGATAAGGAACTAGACGTCGTGGGGTCCGCTAGTGGGTCCCAGTTGCGCCGTCAAGCCCACCGCTGTCTGCAATAGTAAATTGTATCACATTAGGCTAAAAACGGCTAAAACGGCTAACATATAGCAGATTACAAGCAAAACGGCTAAAACGGCACGCGCGCGCGTAGAAACGACCCAACGGAAACGGAAACAGTTAGCGACAACGGAAACGGCCGTTGGTGAGAAAAGGCAGATTTGATACTTGTTCCCATTTTGCTCATAAGTTGAGCTACGAATATCGGATTAAGGCGTATGAGACGCCATTTCGAAGCTTAAAGAATGAAAAACATTTGTTACGAAGACATCCAGAACTGAAACTGGAAGCTTTCGTCCCAAAAGAACCAAACAAAGTCATCCACGGAATCTGACCCATGCACAAATGGTCAGTTTTGAGGTGCAAACTGTTTTCTATGCTACACATGGAAAAATGAGCTGAAAATTGGCAGTTAGATAGCTCATTCCAAATGGAACAACTTTCATGAAGGCCGGCAACCCAAATTCTGAACGGAAACAGGTCATCAAGACCAAAACAGATTTGACCAGAATATGGTCATTTTCTCGGACAAGCCAACTTTGAACGGCTATAGCTCAGGCTACACAACTCCGTTTGAGGTGTACTTTATACCGTTTCGACGCTGAAACTAAGAGTTACATTTATTATGAAGGCGACAAGACCCAATTCGCATGGCATCTAGACGAACCAGATACGGTCAGAATGCCTACCAGAATTGAATTGGAATCAGAGAGTTGTGCACAGTAGACTTGTACTAACCATATCCCAGGCCACATGAATCGGATGGGTCTGAAACTTTGCAGGTCTATAGAACACTTCTAGGGCTACAAGTTTTGTGTTTTGGTCACAAGCTCAAACAGCTTGTAACTTGGTCAAAATTCGAAGGCAAAGGTCCAGTTCTAAACTGTCCTGGTTGGCTATTTCGCAAGAATAACGCGCGCAATCGCGTGGGACGAATTCGCATAAAATATGTAAGCTTCTAAGGCAATTTTATTCCATTCTAACACATACACCACACTCTCTCACTGCCCTACCAAGACTCCCTAAATGCCTTCACACGAACAGCCCCTAACCCCCACTCCAAACCAACCAAATTAACATCTCACACAACCCATTTGCAAACCAATAATATCAATCAAACATGAACCAACACCAAACTACAACAACTCTAATTTCTTTTCCTCTTGGCCGGTTATCATGCAATCAAATTTAATCAACTTTAAGCCATGAAACTTCTTCATAATCAAGCCAATAACCAAACTCAACCACCAAGATAATCAAAGCCACAAGAAACCCTAAGTTCCATAGCCATGGCCAAAACCTAAAGGTGCATATTTCCTTCAAAGTAAACCATGAAATTTCATATACAACCACCAAGAATCATCTCCAATACATTAACCAAGACAATAACATCAAGTCACAACAAATTCAAAGGCTACAAGCCTTAATCATCCAAGAGGGTTTCATAAGAGGTTCTTACCTTGAACAAGGAAGAAGGATAAGGCCAAGACAACCTCTACCAAGCCTCAAGTAGAGCTAGCAAGCCTTAAACTTCAAGATGGAAGCTTCAAATGCAAGAAGGAAGCAAGAAACAAATCACGGTTCTTCTTCTTCTTCTTTTTCTCTTCACGGTTCTCTTCCCTTTTCTCTCTCTCTCTCACGGTTCTTTTCCCCTTTTCTTTCCTTTGTTGTTTTAACTCTAAGACTTATGCTTCTATGGTCTCTTATGTCTTAAGATTATAAGACATCACAACTTCCAACACTATAGATATTTTGAAGTCTTGGCCAATCACAAGAAAGTATGCTAATTGCCTTTAAGTCCTTGCTTCCATGATTTCTTACTTTCTCAATTCTTACCCAACTAACTTTCCTTTTCTTTCAAATTACTCCATAGAGCATATAATTAACCTAGGCTAAAACTCCTAATCACACTTAGCAATTGCACTAATCACCCTTAAACCTTACTTACCTATTCCATACCAATCTTTATCACACTTAAAATCCAACAAGTAAACACTTCCATGTCACACCTAGAATTAGGGTATAATTCCAACTTAATCATTCTAATTCACCACTTAACTAGAGTTTTTCCTTGATTAGGGTTTTCTACCCTTTTAAACCCACTTAACCCTGTATAATACTATACAAAAACATACATACACCTATCTAATACACATCCAAACATTCAATTGCCTTAGAATTGACTAACCAGGGTTTCGCTTAAAAATTTTCAATTTTTGCACAATTAGGGTTTCTCAAGGTCCCAAATAGGGATTTTCGCATTATTCGGAATAAAATTTACTCTAAAATTCATTATTTTCACATAAAAATCATATTTTAGGACAACCGGGTCTCACAGGGATGACATCCTTTTGATGTATATTGCGACTTAACATGTTTTGATCTTGTTGATTCCCCTTTTCTTTTGAAATGATTTGATGAACTTATTATAATTTAGTATAACTATTATGATCTTTTTATGGTATATGAAAATTTACCTTACTTTTAATTGATTTTACAGCTTATTTGTATCTGTAATCTGTTGCTCCATGTCTCAAGACCTGTAATAAGATCATGAATGGCACCTGAGAATAGTTAAGTTTCATAAGTGTGAGTTTTGAATGGGAGAAGTAAAAGTGAAGGGGTTAAAAACGCAAGCAAGTCCCTCTAATGAAGTTTTATAGAAAGATTATGGACTAGAGGAAACAACCTGGGAAGTAACCATTTGAGGAAAGTATCCAGACCTGTTCGCAGATCAAGGTAAATTTCGAGGACGAAATTTTCTTAAGGGGGAGAGGATGTGAAGACTCACAAAATTTATCTATTTTAAACTTCTAATTCTAGCTCATTTAATTATTTATTTGGCCAATTACCCCGAATATTATTTTCTAACCTTTTTAGACCTAATTATATGGATCTATAGCTTAGTTATATTTTTAAAGTGACTTGTTTAAAAATTTAATTTTTGAAAGCTCGTTAAGTGAAAATAGTGAATACGCGATTAGAGTCAATAATCGATTCGAGCATACAATAAGCTTGGAAAATTGAAAACTTGCACATTAGTCTTGAAATAGGTATTTCTATGTTTAAGTGCTCAATTATTAGTTAGTGATACAATCGTTATAAGAATTTCTTGAAAATTTCGCTTTATCGCGCCCAAAAATCGGAAGTACGCGCTTTTACGCGCGCGATTAATTGTGGGACTTTAGATCTTTATTTTTAGACCATTAAAAGTGAATAATAATAGTATGAATGTAAGTGCATTAGAGGTTTAGTGCACTAGTGCAACAAATCCGAGAGGAATCGGGCGTTAACGCGCGCGAACGCGCACTATTTCCGGTTGACTTTTGGGACAAATCTTGGCCACAAATTCTCAAGCTTCCTCAAGAAGCTACAACACTCTTTACACTCTCTTTTCTCTCTTTTGGTGGCCGGCCAAAACAGCAAGGAAGGAGGAAGAAAAGCTTCACCATTTTTACTGCAAATCTTTGCACCAATCTTTCTCCATTTCATCTCAAAATCACACTACACTTTGCTAACCACTTGGAGACCACCTCAAGTTAGGAAAAGAGCTTCAAATCCACGGTTTTTCTTGAGCAAGGAGGACCGAAAATTCTGTCTTAAATCATTTAGGAAAGTAAGTGACGATCAATCTTGAAAATCTTGACTTATGGAAATTGTTTAGCACTTATGAGTTCATAATTTCTTATGAGTAGCTTAAATTGTTGGAAAATTGGCGAGTGGGCTCTATGAATTCCCACTATGGCTTGATGGACTGATTTGTGGTGTTTTGATGTTATTAATGTTGGTTTAGTGCTTAAATTAGTAGAAATGAGTGATATTATGGATGAAAGCTTAAAGGGAGTGAAGATGGAAAACTTTCCGTTTATGCCCCTGTGAATGTCCGTCATGCATAACTAGATGCCAAATCCCTAAGAAAGCGGTAACACATAGCACATAGGCATGCAAATCACACACAAAGCAAAATGAAGCAAATAAAACCCCTAACTATTACACTTGGGGAGGCCTTACTACAATCTAAGGGGAAAGGAACAAATAAAATAATAACCTAACTATTACAACTTTGGCATTTAAGCCTTTCAAATGATCAAAATTGAATTAAAATAAATATACAAAACTAAAGCCAATAAAGCGAATGAATAAATAAAAGAAATAAATAAATAAATAAATAAACAGACATTCAAGAGGCATGCAATTAAACACCTAAAGTCACATAAGTGCACATAGGATCAAATAAGGTCAAAATAAGGGTTAGAGTGTACCTCCTTTGAATTGGTGCCCTAATGAAGCGAAATTACTTATTTACCCTCCAAAAAAAAAGAAAATGTCATGGTACCATTTTAAACAAATAATCACAAAAATGGAAATAAATACAAAATTGAATCACTAAACCCATTTAAATAACTAAACAGCCCATATTTAACAAATAAGGACCCAATTGCTATGCTTAAGCCACAAATGCCAAAAAATTTCCACATAAAATCAAATTAACACCATAGATCTAGAAAAAAAAGTTACTAAACATTCAAATTCATCCTAGCACTCATGCATGTTCTGTCCAAAAATCAAATTAAAGCATACCAAGAGAAAGCAACATGTTGAAGGGGTAAAATTGATTAAATTTTCAATTATTCTGGGCCACAGTGAAACAAGGGGAGACTTGAGGGGTTGGAATGAAAATTCCAAAAATTTCCAAGCATGCATACGAGGAAAGCTCTTCTGCAACGAAAGTTTCTCAGGTCTTTGCCAATCTTCTTCTGAGTTTCATTTTGTAAACTTCTTTTTGCATAAAATCCCAACCACACATTAAAACTTTGACCCAAGTAACGAAACACAGAATTTTTAACATCCAAACAAATAACAAAATGCAGTCAGAGGAATGCAATCTTCTTAACAGCTTATGAACCAGCATAAAACAACAGCAGGTGAGCAAAAATGAAAACAAAACAGCAACATTTTCTTAATGG